GGAGGAATTACTTATAAGGAAAAAGGATGGAGGAGGCGCAGGAGGGCGGCAGAGGAGGGAGCAAGGAAGGGGGTTGAGGCGGCACCCGTCGGGGGAGGAGCGCCAGGCCTGTGCCAGCCCGCCACTGGACTTCGAGGTATGAAGCCCCACAGTAGCCGGTGAGATACTGGTGTGGGCAAAAAACGCCCATCCGAAGATGTTGCTTCGACGGAGCCACTTCCAGGGCCCCACAGTTCAGTGTTGCCTTCGCGGCCGCTGTCGGAACGCGAGCATCGGCATCAGAAACGCCCATAACTCAACACCGTAATTGTGCACACAAGGGCTCAACATTGACATCGGGGGACGCGGGGGCTCTCAACGCATGGGCGTGGGTTTCGACGTGTGGTGGGCACTTTGGAGGACCGCCGCTCGGCGCGCTAGTGCGAAGATGATGGGGGATTCTGACCGACGGCGGCACGCGGGCGCGCCCCAGGGCCCGGGGAGGGCGGCGTCAGTCGGGGGAGGGGGAGGGGGGCCAGGGACGGGGCTGGCAGCTAGCGGGCGAGTCTAGGGCGCAGAGGGCAAGGCTCAGGTGCCCCAGCGGCATGTAGGGTGAGGGGGAGGGGACGGGGGAGGGATGCGGGGAGGGTGCGGTCAAGGAAGGCGCCGCGCACACATCCTGCCCTCTCAACAGGATTGTTGGGGGGTGGGATGCTCACGTGCGCGCTCGCGCGGCGCCCGAGAGTGAGTTCCCTCTTCGCCTCTACCCCCTCGCCGAAAGGGAGAGAAGGGGACGGGGGACGGGGGACGTGGAAGGACCACCGCTCGGCGCGTTGGTGCGGCGGGAGGGGGACGGGGGACGGGGCTGGCAGCTCATGGAAAGCTGTAGCTAGGAGGCAACTACTGGGAGATCTTCGTCGGAGTGATGAAGGAGAACTGATCCCCACTGCGCGCCTGCTGCGCCGAATAAACTGCGAATTAAGCGGGAGTAGCCCGGATAGTGAGCGGGATCACGCCGGATTAAGCAGGATGAAGCCAGATGAAGCCGGATGTCAGACCAAAGACCAGAAACTGACCTCCCAGGAGTGGCATCCGAGCTGTAGGGTGCACAGGGCAGGGCTGAGGTGCTCCGGCGGCATGTGCTGGGAGGGGGGCGGTAACCGGCGGGCGGGGGACGGGGGGCGGGGGGAGGACCGCCGCTCGGCGCGCCGAATGCGAGGCTGCCTCGGAAGCACGCCGCCGCCGCGGGCGCCGCGCGCGGCCGCCGGGGAGCCGCCAGCCGAGCGCGGCGCGGGGGCTGGAGCGCCATCAGCCCCGTCCAGCGGGGGGCGGCTGGGGCGGAGCTGGTGCTCGGCGGCGGCCACTGCGCGTACTCAAGGCCTCTGCGGAGTGACAACTGCGTTGGCGGGCGGCCGCAAGCCAGAGGGACCACGCAGTGAACCAGTCTCGGGCTGATCCCTATCCCTAAGATTCGGCAAGCCCAAATGCGACGAGGCAAGGGTGCAAGAGCAGAGGATGTGGAGGAGATCGCCGACGCCAGCGAAGTACTCCAACCTGCGCCCCAGAGGTGGCAGAGAGAGAGAGCGGAGAGAAGCGCGGAGGCGGCTACAGCTTGCAGATGCCGCTCTGCACTGGATACCCGGCGCCACCGACCACAACAAAGACGTGAGGAACGTCCTCAGTGTCGATGCAGAAGCCCGCGGCGCCAGACCCCCGCAAGAAGGCGGGGGTCAGATTGAGACCCGCAGGCGCCCTGGCGATCGGAGCGGTACGCCGAGAGCCTTCGGTAAGCGGTTCCACAGAGTACGGAAGACTGACTGGCAAAGAGGCCGAGAGAGGATCGGTGGGACGGACTTGCGAAACGTGTCATCCAGCAGCGCCACGGCGGCGCGACTGGAACAGCGAGCGCGTTGACTGGGATAAGACCGACGCACCGACGGTCCGCATGTGCTGGAATGCACACAAGGGCGCCCGCGGCAGCTTCCAGCCCGTCGCTCGGCAGGGACAGATCGCATCCCATCGTGCGCTCGGTCCTTTTCCAGGGCAGAAGCTCGCCGCGATCCCTACGAGCCCCAGGGCGACAAGGGGGTCTCTTGCTGGGGCTTCGGCTGGACCATAGGACCTGCCCCCGCCCTTCGAGGCCCCGCGGCCCGTCTACAGGCTCGCGCTCCCGCGAGTCCAGATCCTCTTTTGCGGCGTCTTGCGACGCCCCACCTGCCTGCGCGGTCGGGCCTCGCCCGCCCGTCCCCAAGCAGGGGTTCCCCGTCCGGACGTCCGCAACCGTGGATAGCGACCCAGGGGGCCCCCAAAGCGTGGGCCCTCGAGGGCACGCATCCCCGCATCTGGCCGAAAGCGGCCAGCTCCTCAAGTGGTGGGTTTTCCTCGGGTCCTTGGAGAAGCGTCGCCACAGAGGGGCGCATCTCTGCAACCTGCAGAGCGATGGCAGGAAAGTGCGCTGTCGTCGCAAGCACCCGTGAGGCTGCGCCTTGGCAGGCGGCTGGGGATAGCTGGTGGGCCCCGACAAGCCATGGAAGACGTCCAGATCGATGTTCGAGATCCTCCGCAGCTGGGCATGCAGCTGCAACGGCTGACGAGGCCCTGCCTGCGAGGGTATCCGCGGGGGGGTGGCAGCACAGCGTGTGCCTTCACGGTCTCTGCGCATTGTGGCGTAGCTCGCTGCCTCGAGCAGCTCAGAGGGCGGAAGACCTTCCTGAGGCGGGAGGCCTCCCACCCAGGACGGCCTGCAGCCATCCAGCCAAAGAGAGGTGGGCGCTGCGGCACATGCAGGAAACAGGAAGACATGCCCTCCGTCGGCGGCGCGGCAGAGGCAGTCCGCTCCAGTGGGTGGCTATCCGGGGCAGCCGAGAGGCGCACTGTCCTCCCGACGCGCTCGCCCGCAGGAGTGCGACCCGCCGGGGTCGCCTGGCAGACCAGCTGGAACCTGGCACAGTCCGCCGGCGGGTCGCAGGGCGGCGGACGGGCTATAGCCCGCTGGCCCACGAGGCCAGGCTCTCCGAGCGCCAGGCAGAGCGCTCGAGGACCGCCGACGCTGCCGGCAGCGGGCCACGGCAGTCTGCGGCGGAGCGACGACACGCGGCCGCCGCCGGGAGGGCAGCGACGACTGCGGCGAGCAGCGGGGAGGGCCCGCTGCGCACGTCGACCGCCAGCCCGAGTCGCACGGCCGTGGGCGGCTGGCGTGGAGTGACGCGCGCGCAGCCCACCGCTCCACGCCCGACGCCCACGAGGTGGTGCACGACGCAGGGGGGTTCCCCGCTCGCCCCTCCAGGAAAAAAAGCCCCAAGCCCAAACCACTATCCCAGCCCTCCCGCGCGGCACGTGCCGCCGCGGACGCCGCTGCGGCCGCGGCTGGCACAGAGGCCTCGCCACTGCGAGGCAGCAGCGGCGGCGGCGCTGCTGTCGCTGCGGACGCTGCCGCAGAGGCGGCGGCGGCCGACCCCGAGAGCTGCTCGAAAGACCGCAGGAGCCCCCCCCCCGCGGAGCACGCAGCGCGCGAGCGAGTGCGCGGCAAGCGGGGGCGCGAGCATCGCGCGGCGTGCTCTGGGCAGAGGCGCTGATGAGCCTCGCGGCGCGGGCGCGGCAGTGATAGGGAGGCTCAGGAAGAGGAAGAGGAAACTCGTGGGAGGCAACAATGCCACTTGGCCGACCGAAGACATCCCGAAAAACATCTCGATAAAAACTGCACCACGCATCGAATTAGACACAGTGCCGTGGACACATCAACATGCAATTAACAAGAAACCGAATGCAGCAATCAGCATTGCAAACATGCGGCGCAGGAGGAGAGAAGGGAGGAGGAATACCAAAATGCAATGGAACAATTAACCGATCACTACAATCATCAGTATCGTCATCATCATATCGTCGTCGTCATCATCAACATAAGTATCAATCAATATCATCAGCAGCAGCATTGTTACCATCACATTCATGACCATCATCAGCGGCAGCATCATCATCATCATCATCATCATCATCATCATCATCATCATCATCATCATCATCATCATCATCATCATCGTCATCATCATCATCATCCTCATCAGCATCAGCATCAGCATCAGCATCATCATCATCATCATCATCATCATCATCATCATCATCATCATCAGCATCATCATCATCATCATCATCATCATCAAAACCACCACCATCATCAACATCATCAGCACCATCATCATCATAATCATCATCATCATCATCATCAGCAGCAGCATCATCATCGTCGTGGTCATCAGCATCATCATCATCATCATCATCATCATCATCATCATCATCATCATAATCATCGTCATCATCATCAGCAGCATCATCATCATCATCATAATCAGCATCATCATCATCATCATCGTCGTCGTCGTCGTCATCATCATCATCATCATCATCATCATCAGCAGCATCATTATCTGCATACTGTGCATCATCATCAGCATCATCATCAGCATCATCATCTGCATCATCATCACCACCATCGGCATCCACATCAGGATCATCAGCATCATTACCACCACCATCGTCATCATCACAGGCAGCAGCAACAGCAGCACCATCATAATCATCGTCATCAACATCATCATCATTATAATAATCCTCATGATTAGCATCAGCATCATCATCACCGTCATCATAATCACCATCATCATCGTCATCGTCACCATCACGATCATCATTAGCATCAGCATCACCAGTAGTATCATCATCATCACCAGCATCACCATCATCTTCATCATCAGCATGACCATCAGTATCAGCATTATCATCATCATCGTCATCATCAGCAGCACAATCAGCATCATCATCAATATCATCATCAGCACCATCATCAGCATCAGCATCATCACCATCATATCACGTCGTCATCATCATCAGCAGCAGCAGAATCATCATCGTCATCAGCATCTCTCCTCCCGTGCCCAAAATAACCATACGCGTCCCTCTCCAAGAGCTCCAACTTCCACCATCTCTGCTGCTTTCTCCCACGCACGCCACGGAAAGCAGCTATCCTGAAGCGGCGCGTCCACGTCGTCTTCCATAGGGATCTCCCACATCGACGGAACGAGGCCACCCATGACCATCTGGTTCGCCTGGCATGGGCATCAACAGTCGTGGAATCAGCGATGGCAGAGGCAGAGACGGCTTCGCTCAAAACTTCTCTGCCGCTGCTGGCAACTCAGACACGCAAACGCCGATGACCGACACCGACAACCAGGCTGGGCCGCCGTGGTACATGCCTTCGGCACTCCACCGTTCACTGCCGCTGACCCGCTTCTCCTCCAGCTCTTTCCTCCCCTCCTGGCGAACGTGTTCTTACTCGGCGTTTCCACATTGGGCGGAAGGGGGGGGGGATGGGGGAGGGGTCTGGCTCCGGAGCCTCTGCTTAGTGCGACTGTTTGCACACGTGCGTCCCATGGGGGAGACTCCACCTGGTCGAAAACCGGGCCGGAAACAGCCGAGACCCACTCCACGGGGCGAGGGGCGCGGGAGGGCCCCGCGCCGATCGGCGAAACAATGCACAAGGAAACGATCCCTTTCCTCTTTGGGAGGAGGAGGAGGAGGAAGAGGAGGAGGGGAAGAGGAGGAGGAGGAGGTCCCTCTCCTCCTCCTCCTCCTCCTCCTCTCCTCCTCCCTCCTCCTCCTCTCCTCCTTCCTCCTCCTCCTCCTCCTCCACCACAATTACACAATATGAAAATACTCTCCCACTTCCTCCGATGGCGTCCCGAAGATGGCCGACCCCCCCCGCGTACTGTTTTTTTTACACAGGATTCCCGGGAAACGGGTTTTCGCCTGCGTTTTTTTTCAAAATGCTGCTCTCGCTGAGGCGCCGGCCTCATTTCTGCTCCCGAATCGTTCCGAATCGTGCTCCCGCTGCAGCGTGGGCCTCATTTTCGGATCGGTGTTTGGCCTCCGTCGTTCAGGATGGCATTCTCGCCCCAGCGCGGGCCTCTTTCTCGCGCGCCCATCCGCCCGCCACCACCGCGCCGTATCACCACCACCACCACCACCACCACCACGACCACCACCACCACTACCACCATCACAACCACCACCAGCACCACCACCACCACCACCACCAGCACCAGCACCAGCACTAACACCACCACCACCACCACCACCACCACAACCACGCACACACGCACGCACGCACGCACGCGCACCACCACCCACTACGCACGCGCGCGCGGAGCCACAGGTCCGCTACGACACGCGTCCGCGGATAGAGAAAATCAGCGCCATGGTAAGGGATGGGAGGGAAGGGTAGGACGTCAGATATGACGCGAGCGCACCTAGCTTGTCCTCCCCCCCTCTTCCTCATCCCTCTGCTGGGGGGGGGACTGGTGGCGGAGAGGCCCGGGGCCCTCCCGCGCGAGCGAGGGGCGGCGGGCACGCGCAGCGGGGGGGAGGCAGGCGGGCCCCTGGGCGGGGCGGCGTGGGAGGGGGCTCTCGACGACGACGACGGTGGCGGCGCTGATGCCGATAGGGGTGATGGTGACGTGATGTCGATGAAGGTGATGATGGTAATGATGAAGGTGATGATGGTAATGATGAAAGTGATGTTGGCGATGATGATGATGATGATGATGATGATGATGGTGATCATGATGATGATGGTGATGATGATGTTGATGATGATGATGTTGATGATAATGGTTTGCGGATGATAGTGATGCTGATGATGATTGTGATGAGGCTGATGTTGGTGATGAAGATGCTGGTGATGATGTTGATGGCGTGGATGTTGCTGATGATGCTGCTGGTGATGGTGATGATGATGATGCTGCTGATGATGATGATGTTGTTATGATGATCCCCCCCAGGCTCGGTGACGTCACATTCGCGACACTGTTTCCGTGATCAACGGCCAATCTACGAGTGGACGGAGCAACGGGCGTTACGGCGGGCGAAGCCAGCGCAAGACTACGGGCGCAAACGAAGCCGAACCAACTCTTGCAAGCGCAGGTTGGGCGCCAGGGTCGACATGCACCCCGAAGCCAGCCAGAGCCAGCAAGCAGGCAGGCAGGAGGGAGAGGAGGCAAAAAGGGGAAAGAGGCGATCGATCGATCGCAGCTGCTAGGCTAGCCACCCAAGAGACAGGTGGGCGGCCAGGAGAAGCAGCAAGCGGGGCGGCACACGGAGCCTCGACCATCATCGAGAACCTCGCGCGCGCGCGGGTGCCAAGAGAACGAGAGCAGGCGCGCCCGTGCCCAGCAGTGGTAGCTGGGTCAACCCTTTTGGCGGGCGCACGGAGCCCGCTGGAACCCTGCCCCGAGAGAGCGCGGAAGAGGGGCGGGCAGCGGGAAGCCTCGTCCACCAGGACGGAAAATGCAACAGGAGCAAGAGAGGCGAGAGAGGCGAAAGAGGCGAGAGAGGCGAAAGGCGGGCGGTCCAGGACAAAATCTCAGACCATAAACTCCAGGAAACGTGAAACGGCCGAAAAAACAAAACACTAAATCCCGCAAACCATCAACCAGGGCACGGGCCGAGCGGAGCAAGAGAGGCGAGAGAGCAGACGGCGGCAGCACCCACGACGGCGGCTGCCAGCGGCAGCACCAGGACAGGGGGAGCTGCAGCGAGGGGGGGGGGGGGGGGGAAGAACAAACAGGGCCCAATAAACGTCCCTGGGGGACTAACATCTCTGCACATAAGAGCCTCGACCATCATCGAGATACTCGCGCATGCGGAACTGCAAACTGGCGGGAGCGGGCGAGCCCGAGCCCAGCACAGGCAGCGGTCAGTCCCATCTGGCGGCTCACGGAGACCAATGGAGAGCGAGAAAACAGAACGATGGGGGGGGGGAAGGCCAGCCAGGAAACTAAACCAACCTAACCTCTGATGGCCCTCGCAGCCGCACGAATGAAAGGGCGCCGTTGCACCATGGGGCCGCAGACGGCCCTCAAAGATCAACGCAGGCGAGCCCCCCCCCCCCCCCGGCGCGGCAGCGGCTCGCAGTCGTGAGTGGGTGTGGACGAAACACTCAAGCAACGCGCAAAGTGCCAAATAACTGGGTTTGTCGGGCGCCCGACCGTCTACACAGCAGAGAACTGGGAACGGACTGGCGAATCCGAGCGGGAAAAGGGGAGCGGCCCAAGACGGAAAAGGCTCCAACACTTTCGGGCAGTGCAGGTAGTGGCACAGGTCATCTACGGCCCCCAGGCAACCAAAAGCACGGCGTTCTGGGCGGGCGTGAAAACGGGCCGACGCACAAAGGCCACGACAAAGAATCCGAAGGACGGCGACCACTAGAAACATCGAAACCGAATTACAGACAGCGCGCATACGTCTAGCAAAAGGGGGGGACCAAACAGAGGCAGGCAAGGGGAGAGGCATCCACTTCAGAACACGTCGCTCGATGCCGTCTCGAAGAGGGTCGGGCCCAATGTCTGCACGGAGAAACGACGCCAACTTCGCTTGGGAGACCAATTAAGGCGCCGTTGGGTCAATCGCCCGAGCCCGAGGGACATGCTCGGCATAGTTCTCGGCCATAAACGACAGGAACGAGTTAGCGAACCAACCGCGAGATAGCCAAAGCGAATGCAAGTCATTGGAGTTATGCGCAATCTCGTCTAGACGCCGCTGGAGCCGACTCCATGCCTCCGAGCCCCGCGCTGTTCTGAACGCTGCAGCTTGGGACACACGAGACAGGGCCATACATTGAGCGCTGCACCCTGCACACCTGAGAGACTCCATCATTCCTGCAGTGAAACTGCACCTCGATCCAGCACGAAGGATCTGCAGAGCCCGTTCTTCCGTCTGCAGCAGTTGGGGGGTCGGCATATATGAAACTGCAGAACATAATCCGGCACTGAAACAGCCCGAACATTGTAAGCTACAACAGACTCAGCTAGCACAGCACCCGCCAGACGGATCTTGCAGACGCGGCGGAAGATTTATCCTGCTGCGTGGGAAACGAGTGGAGGCGGTCATCGGGGCCCACACTAATCCCAAGGTGCCTGCACCACGTGGCCACAGAGAAACGCTCGCAGCCTCGTCCCAGGGATAGAAGCAACTAAGAGAACGTCTGAACTTGCAGCGGACAGACCACTAGGATAATGCATTTCCCAAAGTGCAACCCAAGCCCGATAGCCCCAGCCAGAAGACAGAGTTTATCAAAGAGCGGAGGCAAATGGGTAAAGATATTGGCCAGCCAGAACCTCAAGTCGCCGGCGCACCCTGAGAGCCTGAAACCAAAAGGACTTGCGGAATTCAGCCAACCACACACTGGGTCTAAGGAGAGGGCGAACAGGAGCATCGACGCAGGGCGCCCCTGGCGAACGCCGCGCCCAACCGAGAATTGGACCAACACAACGCCACAGAAGTGGGCCAGAGCGGTGTTATCCTCATAAAGGTTAGGGAAGAATTTCACATCCCACCTCGGAATACACATCTACTTTAGACGAAGAGCAGCCATTGGATCATCAAGCTCGGGCAAGCGGCGCGAAAATCGGTAATCAGCTGTGCTGCCTTGTCCTGCCCCTCAAGGTGAGCGCAAACCCCATCTCCTTCACGCTCAGTGATGTTATCCAATATCGATCGACCAGAGCCGCAACCAGCCTGACTGTCTAAGATAGAGCGCTGACCCAGCAGAGAAAGAGGCCGAGGCAGAGGCGACCAGCTCGCAGTCTGCGCAACCCATTCAGAGCGGACGAGTACTGGATGGCTATCGAGCGGGCACCGCCTATGCATCTGTGGGGCGATCCCCTCTGGCCAGGAAGACCATGGGCATCCGATGGAAGTTTGCAGGACGGGGGTCATCAGGATGAGCGACGCAATGCCGATAGAACAGATAAAGCTTCTCCTGAGCTTCTGGGATCCCCCGTGGCCCTCGCCCGGCATAGAATCCCCAGTGGCTTTCACCGAAGCAGCAAGAGCTTCTTGATCCAGGACCCACTCCAGGTCAGGGTAAACGCCCGAAGCCTTCTGAATGAACGTTTCCAGGGAGTCCCAGAGAGAGCGATCGGGTTCGACCGAGGCAAACACTGCACCCCAGTGACGCGCAAGCTCATGCCCCGCGCGCTCAAGAGACGCACAAGGAACACAAGTGCGCTCGCGCAGAATAGCACCGAGACGGACAGCGGGG